TACATCAATATAAGGAAATGACTCTCATAATTGTAGATTTTGCCTCTCAGCATACACATTCAACATTTCCTTTACTTGCTGCAAGAAACTTCATGGTCAAACTCTTTTTCCTAGTGGAGTAACCTAAACACTTATTATTGGGGTACATGATAATTACCAATCCTGGGTGAATTAGGTTGTTACAGTGTTCACTGGCTTTAACTGCTGGACACAAGAGTAGGAATAAATATTCTTTAAGGTCTCCTGCATTCCAGACATGATCTCCTTAGGGTCCCTGAATCAATCTAATTCCAGGCATGACTAGGTTAAGGATCCCAAAACTTATGTATGAAGTGGAGGTTCCCTGAGGAACTGAAGTTTATACTGTTACACGTTCTTCCATTCATACTGAAAGGAGCCCCATAACCCTGCATAGAGGTGATGGTACAATAGAACAGGGAAATAATCAGATTTCTCAATGGTGATAAGACCCCATCTCTGACTTGGCTTTAACTTCCCAGAGACATAAATGTGTATTCGGGTACTACTGAGAAACATTTGACTTGTTATTGAACCTTAGTAGAGACTAAATATTTAATCTGGGAACATCAGGTTACCATGCAAGCTTGTCTGCCTATCTTACCTGGGTATTTTCTGGTCCATCGAGTCAAAGGGATGTGTATGCAAAGAAGTGCTCCCTTATCAAATGAAAGGGATAGAAAAATGCCACGCTCAGGTGCTGGAGCTCCAAGTCCTATGGATTAGGAAGTGGCTGGAGCTACAAATCCTGTGCATTAGGAATGGCCCAAAATTCAGGACTCCAATTGTTGTTACATTAACTCCTCTGTCTTTATTTGGAAGAATTCTAAGATGGTTCCAAATCAACTCTACTCTCTGATATTCCTCTCAAAATTAGATTGTAGGACAAACAGAGATTTGCAGATGTCAGTTGATCTTCATGTAGAGGATTCTCTCAGTGGGCCTGACCTGCAACCACAAGCCATTTAAAAGTAGAGCACCATTTCCGATTGGCAGCACAAGAAGATGAGCTAGGAACACGATGTGCCCTTGCTGATTTGAAGGTAGAGAAAGGGCCACATGGAAAAATCCAGTAATGGCTTCTGTGAATTGAGAGTGAGCTTCTTGTCACAGCGAGCAAGAAATTAAGGACCCCATTCCCACAAAGGAAGACACTGGATTCCGACAAAAATCTCAAGGAATTTCAAAGCAAATTCCACCTCAGACTTTCTGCATGAGAACACAGTTTGCCCCTAATTTTGATTCCAGTCTTTTAAGGCCCAAAGCAGAGAATCAAGATCCCATACACAAACAACTGCATGTGGTTTTTCAGCCATTATGCTTGGGGTAATTTACTTAGAAACAATAAATTCTGGGCAACTTCCTACATAAAATTATAAAACAAACACCTAATAGGCTCTCTGCACTTACCTCACCATGTGACTTTCACCAGGGCCAAGGAAAGAAGCAACAGCTCAGGACTTATATCCATGGCTTTTCATTGCAGGCAGGCACTGCCTTTCTGTGCTTCCTTCAGAAACAAAACAGAAACAATGTAAATAAAGGAAAGCCTAATTCTTCAGATTTCTAGCTCCTTAAAATGTTTCATGGAGAGAAAGGCATGTCCAGACAAAGCACTCCTAAATCACAAGAACAAAACATTGGGCAGTACAGGCCTGGATTTCAAATTATATTACAAAATCACAGTGGTTAAAAACAGTATGGTACTACCTACCACAGAAATACACATGCAGAGCAATGGGGCAGAAGTTAGGCTGCAGAAAGATGCCCTATGGGTTAGCTATCTGCTCTTTGAAAGAAGGGTGGAAAGCACATAGGATTTGAAAAGATGTCCGCTTTAACAACCAGTGCTCGGGGGCTGGGGATTTAGCTCAGCAGCATAGAGCCTGCCTAGCAAGTGCAAGGTCATGAGTTCAATTCCCGGTACCGGGGGTGGGGGAGTGGGAGCAAAAAAAAAAAAAAAACCTAACAACCAGTGCTGGAGTGGTTATCCATGTGCAGAAAAATGAATCTAGACCTGTATCTCTCATCCTGTACTAAAATCAAATCAAAATCAATCAAAGAACTAGAAAAAAACCAGAAACACAAAATATGCTGGAAGATAAAACAGGTTAAAATCTTCCAGACACAGGCAAAGGTAAGGATGTCCTAAACAAAACACCAGTTGTGTAAGAGCTAACACCAGTAAATCACAAAATGGCATTGCTGTATATGAAACTGAAAAGTTTCTACATAACAAAGGAAATAACCACCAGATTGAAGAGATAACCTACAGAATAGGAGAAAAAATGTTGCCACCTACTCCTGGACAGAGGATGAATATCTACAAAATATAAAGGAATAGAAAAAAGTAGGCCTTCTCCAAAAAGACTCAATCAAAAATGGTCAGTTAGGGCAGGGATATAGCTCAGTGGCGCAAGCGCCTGCCTGGCACGTGCAAGGTCCTGTGTTCGATTCCCGGTACAAAAAAAAATTTTTAAATGGTCAATTAAAATGAATAGACAGGTGGGGATGTAGCTCAGTGGCACTGCACCTCCCTGGCAAGTTTGAGGCCTTGAGTTTGATTCCTGCTACAAATTAATTCATTAATTAGTTAATTTAAAAAATGAACAGACATCTCTCAAAGGAATTTACAAATGGCCAGGAGGTAAATGAAAAAATGTTCAGCATCTCTGGCCATTAGAAAACTATAAATCAACACTGAGATTCCATCTTACTCCAGTAAGATTGGCTATCATCAGGAACTCAAAAATCAGCAAATGCTGCCAGAGTTGTGGAGGAAAAGGAATAGTTCAACAATGTTCATGGGAATGTAAATTAGTGCAACCACTACACAAATCAGTATGGAGATCCTGCCAAAAATTAAAAATAGAAATTTCATTTGACCCGGGTATATTGCTCTTGGGCATATTCCTCAAAGAGTTAAAAAAAAATCACTTTCCAGTGGTATATGCATACCCATGTTTGTAGCACCACAATTCATGATAAGCAAATTATGGACGTGGCTTATATGCCCATCAACAGACGAATGGCCAAGCAAAACGTGTTATTTCTACACAATGGAGTACTACTTGGCCATAAAGAAGAATGTGTTTGAGTCATTTGTAGGAAAATGGATGCACTGTGAGTCCATAATGCTAAGTGAAATAAATCAGAAACAGAAGGTTAAATATTACATGGTTTCTCTTAGATGAGAAACCCAAAATAAAGTAATTTCAAGAGGAAAATGCAGTAGAGATGACAGGAATGAGGGAGACTGGCTTTTGGAGATGGGAAGGGAATCAAGGGAAGAGCCGAGAAGACACACTTTGTATATGCACCAGTTCTCCAGAATGAAGGTAATTATTGTGTATTGTAAAACATGCTAAAAATGTTACTTTAAAAGAACAGAAGCAAAGAAGGCACTGGCAAACACTGCCAAAATAAATGTTCTCAGCTGGGCATGGTGATGCAGTCTGTAGCCCCAACTAGGAGACTGAAGCAGAAAGACTGCTTGAGCCTTGGAGTTCAGGGCCAGCCTGGGTGACATAGGAAGCTCCCATATCAAAAACGAATTTTACTTTATTTTATTATGTTTTGTTTATTTTCTGTAGGTTTTGTGGTTTTGTTTTAGACAGGATCTCACTCTGCAGTTTAGGCTGGACTTTGACTCACTTTGTAGCCCAGGCTGGCCTGGAACTTGCAGAGATCCTCCTGCCACCACGCCTGGCTCAAAGATGAATTTAAAAAAAAACTATTTTGGAATTCCAGAATTGAGTCCAAGGTTTGGAGCAACCTGAAGAGTATTTATTTGGGGGGGCTGGGGCAAGTGCTGCTCTGTACCTGTAATCCCAGCATGGTGGGAGGCTCAGGCAGGACTTCAAGTTGAGCCCAGTCATGGCAATTTAGCGACTTAGACCTTGTCTGAAAACTAAAAATTTAAAAAGGGCTGTTGATGTAGCTCAGTGCAGAGGTCATGGGTTTAATGCCCAGTAAAACGTGCGTGTGCACACACACACACACACACGTTTATTCAGTAAACATGAAAAAATCAGCTTGTTGGTGCCTCAAGGTGCCTATTACCACTTTCAGTCCCCAGCTCCTGGGTAGCCTTGAAACTGGCAGCCTACACTTGGGTAGCTGTAGACAAGAACACACTACTAATCATGGGAGCAAACACCTGGGGGAGGGCATTCCTCCAGCCTCTCCTCCCACCCAGTCTTCACTATTTGACCCGCACGGCATCCCCCGAAAAGCACCCACTCTCGGGACTTGTCCATGCGAAAGTATGTGGGGCTTGTCCTCATGTCCTTCCAGTTTTGCTAACACCTCTTCCCAAGGAATAAGTTGAGGTCTGCTTTGGGGCAGGTTCCTTCCTAAAACGAGTTGCTAGTCTGTCCTCATGAAGTAGTTGTCGAGCTTGACACAAATGTCTTAGCCTCTATCAGCGTGGTCTGTGCCCTTTTCTGTTAACTCCAGGTGCCTTGATTGTCCCGCCTAGTCCTGCTCGGTGAAAAAACGCTCTGGTTCCCTTAACAAGATGGCCTGTTTTGTTTTAAATTTAGTTTAGCGGGAATTGATCCCAGGGACTTCACACAAAGCTACATCCTCTGCCCTTAAGATTTTATGTATGTATGTGTATGTATTTATTTATGTTGAGACAGGGTCTGCCTATGTAGCCCAGGCTGGCCTTGAACTTGTAGAGATCCTCCTATCGCGGCCTCCCGACTGCTGAGATTACAGGTGAGTGCCACCCGGCCCAGCAGTATTTTATTTTATTATTTTTGGCATTGGAGACTGACTCAGGGTCTTTGTAAGTTGGCACTGGGCATGAGGCTTAGGCACTGGAGGCTCTAGCCCATCTACACCTTCCCCAGTCGGAGCGCAAAGAAAGGGGGGGGCGGCGCGGGGCGGGAGGAGCAGCACGTGACCAGCCCCCCTCCCCGGGACTGGCTGCTCGCCCGCCGTGGACACGCCCACATCCACGCACACACGCACGAAGACGCTGAGGAGAGAGCACGTTGTCGGCCTCGAGGGCGGATTCACAGAAAGTGCTCCCGCTTCTCCCGTCCCATGGAGGAGCCGTCGGGAACCTCTTCCAGGCAGCTTTGCCAGGTCGGGACTTCAGCGTTGGGCTGGGCGGGTGTAGGGGGCGCCCTGCCTGCCAGCCCAGAATGGGTGTCTGTTTGGGGGGCCTCGGCCGGGCGGGGAGAAGGTATCAACTGCCCCGACACCTCCTGGGGCGACGCCCGCGGCACTGGGGGCTGAGGACGGTGGGCCCCCCGTGGGGAGGTGGGCAGTGGGCGGCCGGCTTCTGGCTATGGCCCTGAGGAGGGACTTGGAAGGGGACGCGCCACGGGGTGGTCCTCCGTGGCGCCATGTCAGCCCCAGAGGTCCTCTCAGCTGGCACCCTAAGGAGCACCCTTGCGTGCCCCTCCCCCAACCTCTCAGCCTGGTCCTAGGGGACCGTTGGGGAATATGGCCACCGAGGACCCCTCTGGAAGCCCTCTGCGTATTGTTCCAGAACCTTCTCTGGCTTGGTTCAGCACCTTTGTCCGTGTTTCGCCACGGTGTTTGTACTTGAAAAGTACGTTTATAGTTGCGCATATATTCCGGAGTCCACTCCGGATAGACGTACGTTCTTACGTGGATATGACGACAGATAGAATGTTTCATTGTGGCGTGGTGGCGCTCGCCGGCAGTCCCAGTACTCCAAGGGTCTGAGAAGGGAGGATGGCCATTTGGAACCCAGGCTGGGGAAATTAGCGATACCCTGCCACCAGGTACAAATAAATGAATAAATGAATAAATAGGAGCTGGGGATGGAGCTTACAGTGAAGCCCCTGTGTTCAACCCCTGTTACAACAATAATAGTAATTATTATTAATTAATCAGTAATAATTATCCCAACAATAATAATAATTTTGAATATATGTCTCCTTCAAGTCTCTGCTTTGTTTTTACAATATCTGCATGGTGTCTTTTCGGT